CAATTGGTTTCACTGAATTATGACTGGCTCAGGGCTTAAAAAAAACTGGTCCAAAGGACAAGCAGCTTTGAATTTTGCTTGTCCCATTTACTTTTATGTTATTTTCTTTTATTTTATTTAGTTGAAAGCCAAGTTGCCTGATCCTTTGCCCATCAGGCAAGTGAGAATGAAAAGATACTTGCCCAGCAAGAAAATCTACTTGTCCTGGACAAGCAGACAGCACTTTTTTCCAGGCCTGCAGCTACTAAATTATTAGTGGAGATGACTGAGAGCTGTAATGTTACAAAGTCTCTTGACTTTCCAATACACAACAAAATCGAGGGAGTTTCAGTATAAAATTGTGTCAATCGTCACCTCGTGAGGATGGTTAATTGTTAAATGTTATGACGTCATAAGCATTGTATTATCTTCGTACAAGTAACATGTAATCAATCATAATCTCTTGTAATCGCGGTCAAGCTAATTTCGTTACCCTAATTCCCTCCCACCCTTAAGGTGTTGGAGTTATATTGTCATCAGCTCTTGTATCTTAGTTTTTAGTCTGACAATAAACTTTTTGTTCCAAACTAGTGGTCTGTGGTTAAATGTAAACAATTCTCAATAGATACTTAACAACGAATGCTTTTCTACACAAAATTGGTTTGATAACTTCACTATTATGTACATTCTGTGGTGCAGAGAGCGAGTCCCTAGAGCATTTACTGATCACATGTCCATTCACTAATGATTTTTGGCTGGACTTTACTTGTTGGTGCAGGAATGTACATGTAAATATAGTTTTAGACGGACTTTCTAATATTGGTAAACTCTTTGGGATTTGGAATAGAGAAGAAGATTTCTTGTTGCTCTATCACATTTTAATTATAGTTAAAAAAAAATTCTACAAATGCCGAAAAAATAGCACTCACTCATCCTTTAGAGTGTATTGTAAAATCGTGCCTTACACTACATGTATGTATACCAATTAGAATCTCAAGTTATGAAATCAAATAACAAAAAGTTCACTCATAATCTTAAGTAAAGAAAATATATCAACAACTTAGAATAATGTTAAATCTTTGATTCCTAATAGCACCGTGTAACATAAG